ACCCCAAACGCAGTGACAGGGCCAGCTGAAAACACCTCAAACGACATGACCGTTTCTGACTGGATTCCCGCGACGATTCCCGCCGTGATGACCTGCTCCCCTCCCTTAGGAGTCCTCCACGCCTTCCCTGCTGCCACTGTTGAGCACCTTATGGGAGACCATCAGCGCCAGATCGAACGGCTCCTCCACGCACTCTCCCAACGTCTGCAGGCTTGGCAGCACAAGGTCTCGGCCTGTCGTCGTGACCTTGACTCAACCCATCCCCACCCTTCGCAATCCTTTGGGGGGATGAAGCAACGAGGATTGGGGGAAAGGGAGGGGTTCATCTTCGCGCAGATAGACGTGGGGGTCTACGGGATGCTCGCCGCGCTTGTGAAGATGGAGAGCGTTCTACAGGAGGGGGTTCTCGCGCTCCGGCAAGACTTCTATCGATGCCGCGGAAACTCCTTCGCAGCGGCGCTTTCGCAGTTTATTCAAAGGGAATCTGAGGAAGAGCGGGGCCAATTCATCAGGCTCGCGGCTAGCACCGAAATTGGCGTAGACTTGGGCGCTGTAAACGTAAATGCTGAGGCCGTTATTCATGGTTTGGATGGATCGACGTACAGGCTATTGGAGGCGCTGGAAAAGCTAGGAGATTTCGTTCTGCGGATGTGGGAACACTGTAAAAGGGTTTACTGCACGGAGGAATCTCTCATCCTGCTCGCCTCAGAGAACTAAAAAGAAGGTTTCCTCAAGGTTTGCATTCAAACACAAATAAAGAGTGAGGGAAGAGAGGATATGGAAAGCCTTTATGCTATTCATACAAGATATCTGTTTATATCCTAGCGCGTTATCACGGTGAATATTGGTATTAGTATTGTGAGGTTATATTGAACCTGTCAACTCGGAGCAGACTATTTGACATGAGCGCTCCTCTTCCTCAGCCAGGAGCTACTCCTTCCATGCTTAGTGATCGCAAGAACGCGTTTTAAACATGGAAGGTTTTTTAAGTTGTGGAGATTATAAAATGAAACTTTGTATCTCCTTTTCACACACATGAGCAAAGTATTGCTTATTATTGGCTAAACTAGAAGATTATTCTTCACACTGAAAAAAAAAATGATGAACCCTAAACAGAAATTTTTTATCTTTTTTATATTATTTTTCTGTTTTTGAATGCTTATATGGGACGTACAAAGTAACACTATCTCTCTTT